GTGACTTCCTCTCTCCCAAAATGAATTAGCTCTCTTAGGGTTCTCTCAAGGGACTGGTAGCCGCAATGGGAGGCTATAAGTGCCCTTAAATAGGCTCCAAACCCAGAGAATTAGGGTTTCATTAAACAGTGTGGACTCGTCGAGTCCACTCCTTGGACTCGCCGAGTCCAGACGCGAACCCGCATCCAAAATTGCGATCCTACTCGGCGAGTTTGAGCTCCAACTCGCCGAGTCTCCTCACAAAATACCAAAAATATAAGAATGAATAATACCTGGGAATCCGTGCTGTTACAGTTACATTTTACAATGCTAAAACCAAAATAACACACAGACACTAATACAATCACACACACACACACAACCACCCTAGTGGTGGCCGGCGGTGGCACAGGATGGAAGAAATTATTTCAAGGCATCAACCACCATGATTGGTGGCCATGTTGGGTTTTTCCTCATTCCCGGCGAAGAAATCACACCCACCACGTCGTCTAGGTCATAGATGAGTCCGTCAATTCATTTGGTGGCGAAAGGCAACGACGGTGACACGAAAGGAGGGCAGTAGCGACAGCTAGATGAAAAAGAAGGTGGCAGTGGGCTTGGCAACCGAGATGAGTGTCGGCAGCATCACAGAATGGCAAACAACAGCAGCGCTTGCGACGATGGCGAGCCACATCTTATAAGTGTTATGAATACCGTCCAGTTCTTCTGGTAGTTTGAGCTTGTAAGCTTGGTTCCCAATTCTCTGAAAAACTTTAAACGGTCGAATAAAACTTGGACTTAACTTTCCCATCTTACCAAATCTTATAAGTCTCTTCCACGGCGAGACTTTAAGCAAACCCAAATCTCCAACTTCAAAAGTCATCGGTCGTCTTTTCTTTTCAGCGTAGCTCTTTTGACGATCATAAGCTGCTAAGATTCTTTCCGTGATCACTTTCAACTTTTCAGCAGTCTGATGGACCATCTCGGGTCCCATAGACTACTTTTCTCCAGCCTCAAGCCAACAAGACGGCGTACGACACTTCTGTCCGTACAAAGCTTGATAAGGTGTCATCTTTATGCTCGAGTGGAAACTATTATTATAGGAAAATTCTACCAAAGGTAAATGTTCATCCCAGTTACCTAGGAATTCCAGGGTACATGCTCTCAGCATATCTTCAAGTGTTTGTATTGTTCTTTCATCTGGCCATCAGTCTGTGGAAGGTAAGCTGTACTTAAACACAACTTGGTACCCATTTCCTCTTGTAGACTTTTCCAAAAACGTGACGTAAAATGACTATCCCGATTTGATACAATTGTTAGAGGAACACTATGAAGTCGCACAATTCCCTTCACGTAAGCATTCACAAGCTTATCCATAGACCATTTTTCATTGGCTGCTATGAAGTGTGCACTCCTGGTGAAACGACCCACGATCACCCAAATCATGTCGTGATCGCTATTTGTCCTGGGTATTTTAGTGACAAAATCCATTGTGGTGTCTTCCCATTTTCCCATAGGTACAGGCAAAGGTTCTAAACTCCTATATGGTTTCTGATGTTATGCCTTAACCTTCGTACAAGTCACACACTCGGCCACATACTTTGCTATATCAAGCTTCATCGTCGGCCACCAGTAATAGGGTTTCAGGTCCTATACATTTTAGTGTTACTGGGATGAATCGAGTACATGGTTTTGTGAGCTTCTTCCATCAGAAGATCTCTTATTCCTCCATACTTAGGTACCCAAATCCGATCTTGAAACACCTTCAGTCCGTGACTGTTTATACCGAACACTAACGTTTTACCCAAAGATTCCTCCTTTCGGTCATTCTTCTCTAAAGCTTCTTCTCGAGCTTTCTTTATACTCTCCACAATTGTTGAGACAACTTATATTCTCAACGCTCTTGGCCTCTTTCTTTCAACATTGATTTTCCGACTGAGAGCATCAGCAACAACATAAGCTTTACCGGGGTGGTAAAGTATCTCATAGTCGTAGTCCTTGAGTAAATGTAGCCAACGTCGTTGCCTCATATTCAATTCTTTCTGATTAAAGAGATATTAGAGACTCTTATGATCAGTGAAAAGTTTTCACTTAGTGCCATAGAGGTAATGCCTCCATATTTTTAGTGCAAATACTACGACGGCCAGCTCCAAATCATGAGTGGGGTATTTCTTTTCGTGCACTTTCAACTGTCGAGATGCATATGCTATCACCTTTTTTCTTTGGGTCAAAACACAACCCAACCAAACGTCTGATGCATCGCTATAAATAGCGAATGCCTCACATAGCTTCTTCTTTAGCATCTCGAATGCTTCTTTGTGCTTATCACTCCAAGTATAAGTAGCTCCTTTGTGAGTCAAAACTATTAATGGAGTAACGATCGAAGAAAAACCTTGTATAAACCTTCGGTAATATCCGGCTAATCCTAAAAAGCTTTGGATCTCCGTGGGACTTTTTGGTTGTTCCCACTTCATCACAACTTCAATCTTTGCTGGATCAACCATTATCCCTTCCTGGTTGACCACGTGACCCAAGAATTGGACTTCTCGAATCCAAAAATCACATTTTGAGAACTTTGCATACAACTATGAATACTATCACTGATTTATCAAGGAATGGATTGCAGAACCTGTTCATTAAATCCATGAACGCTGCTGGAGCATTGGTTAGTCCAAACGACATAACCAAGAATTCATAGTGTCCATACCTTGTTCTGAACACAGTCTTCTCAATATCCCGCTCTCTCACTTTTAGCTGATGATATCCTGACCTTAGATCGATCTTCGAGAAATAGCTCAAACCTTGCAATTGATCAAACAGGTCATCAATACTTGGCAACGGGTATCTATTCTTTATCGTTGCCTTATTCAAATCTCTATAATCAATGCACATTCTCATGCTCCCGTCTTTCTTCTTTACGAATAACACCTGAGCTCCCCAAAGTGATAAACTAGGTCTAATGAAACCTTTGTCCAATAACGCCTGAATTGTATCATTAGCACCTTCATCTCCTTTGGTGCTAATCGGTACGGTGCTTTTGCTATTAGCGTGGTTCCTGGTAACAAGTCTATTCTGAACTCCACTTGTCTATCATGTGGTAATCTAAGAAGATCTTCGAGAAATACTTCCGGATAACCACACACCACTGGAATACTCTGCATCACCTTCTTTTCCTTCTTAGCATCGATCATGAATGCTAAATATGATGTACATCCCTTGGTAAAACACTTTCTGGCTTTCATTAGGGAAATGATTCCAGAATTTACTCAGCGTTTGTCCCCGTACACCATAAATGACCCTTCCCCTGGTGGGTTTACTTTTAGTATCTTCTTTCTGCACAATATTTCGGAATCATTTGGCACTAAGCCAATCCATTCCCAGAACGATGTCAAAACCATTTAGTTCTATAGGAAATAATTCCTCGTGGAACTTATTCCCATTCAAGTCAATGAAGATGTTTTTCATGCAATGGCTAACAGGTACAAACTTACCACTAGCAACTTCGACTAATAAAGCATTATCTAGTCTATCAACAGGAAAAGCTAGTTTTCTACCAAACTCATGTGAAATAAAGGAGTAGTTGGCTCCAGAATCAAACAAAATTTGAGCAGGTAATTTGTTTACAAGAAAGGTACCTGAAGCGACATCAACTTCATCTTTCGCAACCTCAAGTGTCATCTGGAAGGATCTTGCTTTTGTCTTTGGGGGAATGTTGTGTTTTTCTGCCTCTTTATTTTTCGGACAATCTTTCAAAATGTGCTCCTCCTCATTACATCTAAAACACATCCTCTTGTTGGACGGACACTCGTTGGCATAATGCCCCGTTTTTCCACACTTGTAGCAAGTCACCTCATCACTACATTTCCCAAAGAGCTTTTTCTTGTGCTTCTCACACCATTTCGCTTCGCCTCCCTTTCCTACAAACTTCTTCGAATTTGACTTCGAAAATTTACTTTTCTTATTGGAACTCGAAGTTCCTTCAAATTTTCTCTTTTCGCCAACTTCAACCTTGTCGGCGTTCCTCCCTTTGATCATATTCTCAACAAACTTGGCAGCCCAAATAGCTGCCTCTAGAGTAGGTGCCTAAAGAATTTGAACTGCGTACTCCCATGGGACTCCTTTTGCGTATCGGTCAACCTTTGTCAGCTCATCTGGAACAATGTGCAAGGAAAACTCCATTTTTTCGGTGAAGGCGTTAGTGTTATCGTCGATTGACATGCTGCCTTTTGTCAATGTCTGAAAGTTTTTCTCCAACTCTAACAGATTTTGGGCCGAACAGAACTTGCGCTTGAATTGCACCAAAAATTCTGCCTAAGTCAATTGCAGTGGCTCTTTAGGGCTTAGGGTTTTCCCCATGGTGTTCCACCAACGAACAGATCCACCTCTGAACTGACATACAACGAACATAGTCTGCAACCCGCCTCTGCAACCACATGTCATGAAGGCTAGCTCCATTTCTGATATCCAATCCATGACTCCGATTGGATTCTCCTTTCTAGTGAAGGTCGATGGTTTGCAAGTCAGAAAATCCTTATACTTGCATCCCATTCCATCATTCCTTCCATCTTGTTTGTTTTGCCTAACTATCGGTGGGTTGGCTTGACCAACAAATTCACTGAAGTTTCCTTCTTCCGAGTGCCCTTCATTTAACTCGGGCTCTTCCACTTGAATTGACAGTTCTTCACGATTCTGTTGAAGCAACCTCTTGGTCTCCTCCATTTGATGATCCATCATTTTTTGAATCATCATTTGTACACCAGTCATTATCATTGGCTCAGGTGCTGCTGCTACAACATGTATTTGCTCAATCACTGGTGATTGAGGCTGTTGATTCGTGTTTTCGTTTGCGTTTCTAACTCCGCTTCTAGTTCTTGCCATTCTTGATCTATACACCGAAGAAGGTGAAATTAGATCCTCATCCACGATAGATATTACAATCCTCCATATCACTCCGAAATGTTTACATGCTAATTCTAATATCGTAACTATACGCTTAGAATCCTAAAAACATAAGGTTTCCCGATCCGGGACAGGAAAACTCTGATATAAATTCATAACTTCTTCATCCGACTTCCGTTTTCGTCTGTGTTGCACTACCATTGACGAGATATTCGATTCTTATCTAGATTGTTTCGCCTAAAAACCGCTCGATCTCAAATCGAGTATTCGGGCTGCATACTGCTAAGTCGAAACTTTGGAAAATCATAACCTCCTCATACGAAGTCAGATTTGGATGATATTTTTATGCACGCTCTCGTTTTAACAAACTCTACGACTTTCGTTTAGATCACTAAGGCTAAATATCTCTCTATTGTAAATTCACTTTTTACGTCATTCAACGTCGTGTCGGTTCTGTCGCGAAACATTGACAGGTGATAACTTCTTCGTTATAACTCGGATTTCGGCATTCTTTATAACTCTGGAATCCTTGTTTCAACAATTAAAACTTTATTTAAGATATCAGGCTTATCTCATACTTTAATTTTGACGCTTATTTTATTCTTAATTCATTAAATTAAAATAATTAAGAAAATGAACACATATATCACATTATTCACATAATACTCAAATATTTCGTCATTAATACTTCAAAAAGAGTTACAAACGTTAACCTGGACTATTACATCAATGATAATGCCTAGCCTGGAAATGCTGGCGTTACAGATTACAATTTAGTTTTTGCATTTATCACTACAATTTATAACTTTTAACTATTTATAAAATATTCTTTGGGTTTTTAAGTAGAACTGAAATTTATATTTAAGTTGACACATTAATGTTATATTTAAATTAACAATTTAAGTATTTTGTCCAAACTGTTCAAAAGTTGTAGCTTTAAACTGATAATGGTTTACATTCAACAACATTTTAAATCTAATAAATTATGTATAATATGTTAAAAGTTAAAGACATAACTTTATAAGTAGAAGTAAAGATATTATATTAAAATTGAAATTTAGTTTATTTATTATTACACTAGATGTGAGACTCGTGTGTACACGGGTTGATTAAAATAAAAGTTAAATATCAAAGTATAAATATTACATCAAAAGTGTGTTTTAACTCAAGATTAATGCTACAATCATCATGTTGTACTATAAAATATAAATTTTAATATAAAAAATTATACTGATACATAGTAATACCGGTGTTTTATTTAAAATATTTATAATGAAATAATTAATTTGCTAATAACTTCTGTTATTTTATTATTCTTAAAAAGATGTTTAAACAAAAAAAATGGAAAATAACAAAAAATCTAAGAAATATATCAAAAAAAAAGTATGTTAGTAGCATAATTTTAAATCCTTATAACATATATAAATACACCGGAAAGTTTTTGAAAAAAATGAAATATATGTGAATTTGAATGCCAAATAGTAGCATAATCTTAGGCTAATAATATCGAATAAGAAAAATAAACAGAAAATTGATTTAAATGACCTTAAATGTAGGAATTAAAATTCGAAAGGAACATGTATTCTTAAATTCTCATAAATACATAATTAAGTAGTATTTTTAAATAAAATTGATAATTATAAGAAAATGACATGTGGATTTATTAAATTCAAGAACACCATAAAATGACAAGTGTCATAATTAATGACCAAGTGACATGTGGCAAAAAAAATTCTTCATTTATTAGAGAGGACTTTAGGTTTGATATATATTTAACCTTATTAACCAACCTATAATCATTATTAGAAATACACTATTGATGAGAATAAAACTCAGATCGTTTAGATCGTTCATAGGTATAAAGACGATGAACAAACAAAACAAACACAATAGGATTAAGAACACAGAATAGAATCAAAGTAAGGCTTATGATTCAAATATAGTCATGTCTCAGTAGAGCTCGATGAAGAACTTCCACTGTAGAGGCGAGATAGGGTTTACAATACTTGTGAAAGAAAATAATAAAAAGCGTTACTAACAAAGGATGCATGCATGCACCTTAAATACTAAAACCATAGAAGAAAAACATGCACGGTTGGACAGGCCTAAATCGGCAAACAAAACTGGGCTAAGGATCGAGCCCATGACGCAAAATTATAAGCCCAACAATCTCCCCCTTTACATCAAACGAGGTGAGAGATCATTTCTGATAAAAATAAAACTCAGATCGTTTAGATCTTTCACAGGTATAAAGACGATGAACAAACAAAACAAACACAATAGGATTGAGAACACATAATATAATCAAAGTACGGCTTATGATTCAAATATAGTCACGCCTCAGCAGAGCTCGATGAAGAACTTCCACTGTAGAGGCGAGCTAGGGTTTACAATACTTGTGAAAGAATATAATAAAAAGAATTACTAACAAAGGATGCATGCATGCACCTTAAATACTAAAACCCTAGAAGAAAAACATGCACGGTTGGACATGCCCAAACCGGCAAACAAAATTGGGCTGAGGACCGAGCCCATGACAGAACACTATAAGCCCAACAATCTCCCACTTTGCGTTAAATGGGGCGAGAGATCATTTCCTTTGAGTAGGTTTCACAGTCTTCACCACCATGAACAGCCGAAGGATGATTGCAAGAAGAGTCTGCTGAAATTGAATGTGCCATCTCAGCATATCAGTAAACATCTTCTTGTCGACCGCTGAGTTCTGATCACACCTCTGAATGATTTCCAAAATATGCTCCAAGCAAGAGGTTGAGAACAAATGCTTATCAACAAGAGCGAACAGGCATTTTTGACCTTCACCTCTGATAAACATCACAGTGTGGTGCTTTGTGTCAATCTTGCCTTTGACCATCGAGTTAATATCGCCAGCTCTTCCCATTGGTTTGATCGTGGTTCTCTTGTGAATTGCTGAGGAAATTTCTTGATCCATCTTCGCTATTTCGTGAATGTAGCAGAAAAGCATTTGCTTGATATGGTCAATGATAGGCAGATACTCCTGAGGATTTGACAGTAAGATGTTGTTGAGGAGTATCCAATGATGGGTGTTGAGGTTCGGCAGATTAGCAAGAGAGAAGTTGTGAACCAAGCCTTCAGAGCCTCGAGTCACTTTAAATTTCACATTAACGAACTTCCCTGTTTTATAGGGCTTTAACACCTTGACAATTGTGATCTTCTGCGAACTCCAGGTCAAGTACTGGGGTTGAGCAAACTCCAGATAGAAATCTCCACCTTCGGGTCTGGAGATGGGATGGAAATAGATGAGTTGAAGCAGTGAAAGATGAATGCATTTCATGTGATTGGCATATCAAACTGCTCATCGTTTGAGTTCTCAAGACTGAATGACATAACAGGCTCGAGCCAATGTGTGCTCGGTTCACTATGGAAAAATTCACTTCTTCTTTTCTAAGAGCTAATTTTCTTTCTGTTGCTTCTCTAACTCAGTCGTTTGTTTCTTGAACTTTTCTTGAAGCTCTTTATCAAAAGATTTTGTTTTTAGAAAAGGCTTAGCGGGATTTTCTTCAAAAACATCATCTTCATCATCAGTGTCATCTTCACCAATCTTCTTTTTCTTCTTGTCTCTTTTACTGACCGAAGCTTCATTAACCTTCGATGCAATGGATGACTTCGGTTCAGGAGGAGGTTGAGTTTTTGCCTTTGCCTTATCTCCCCCTTGTTTCGATTGGATGTCAGTCACTGGAACACCCAATGTTGGTCGTAGCTTTTTAGCCGAATGTCGTCTAATAGTGATGGTCATAATAGGATCGTGGGCATCGAGAAGATGAAGTAAAATATAATGAATGTCACTAACAGAGCTTCGAATTACCTCCCTTTCAGACTTTAAGTCATTGAGCTCAATTGTTGCAGTGCGAAGCTTGAGGTTTTGCATTTTTAGCTGAGACGTTCGTTTGTCCAACTCATCCATGATGCGATTTTTAACCGCTAACTCTGCTTCCAGCTGAGTCAGACGATCATTGACATTATCGTGGAGAGTGACATTGGCAGCTTCAATGGCTTAACGAGCAGCTTCAAGATTAGACCTCTCAGCTTGAAGAGAACGATGAAGATTATCAACCGAAGTGTTCACGGTCTGAGATTTCTTCTGAGCAGCTGCTTGCAAAGAATCCAAAAAGATACGAGCCTCAGAAATTAGTTTATCGACTTTTGCAGTTGCTTCTTTGCATTCCTTTATGGAGGCATCAACAGCAAGAGAGGCCTTTTGGCACTGAGAAGTTGAGGCTTCAATGGCCTTTGCTGCAGCAGATAGGGAAGCATCATGTTCCTTGACAACAGAGGAGAACAAGGCTTTTAAAGCAGCGTCAGAATAAGCACTAGTGGAGGAGGAGGAAAGCAGTTGATCAAGTTTGTCATTGACTGCTTTGAGATGGAACTTGGTGATAGGATCATCTTCGTCTTTGTCACTTTGTACACGATAAGGACTAAAATAAGTGGAATCAAATTCCAAGTCCTCACCGCCCAGAACCGTGTTGGTTTCAGTAGACTAGGTTGGAGATAGTGGTTTGGTGATAACCGGAGGTTCGGTTGTGACTGGGGGTTTGGTTGTAACAGGAGGTTCGGTTGCTGAAGAAAGAGCCCCCATATTAGATATGTTGGTTCGAACTCTAGTAGCGGTGGTTGGTGCTGCTTCAGTGAAGATTGGATCAGGGATGGGAATGGTAGTTGCTGGTTGAAAGGTAGTGATTGGAGGGATAGAGACATGTATAAAAACGGGTGGAGGAGAAGGGGGTTTGGAGCAAACAGGTTCCTATGGGGTAGGCGAGTGAGGGGGGGTTCCACCACGACCTAAAGCCTCATCATCAGAGCTTTCGCTCTCTGAGTCTGAGTGAGTAGAAGGTTTGGTAAGAGGAGGAACATACTCAGAGTCTGAATCGCTTGTGGGTTGAAGAATTAGTCTCCGAGCTGGCTTCTTCTGTTTAGGCTGTGAAGGAGCAGCCTTGTCAGACTTTCACGTTTTAGGGGTTTGAACCTTGGTTGATTTAGCGACGTTCTTCTCCTTCTGAGTGTCTGACTTCTTTCCCCTCTTGGGTGGCTTGTCAGCTTCCTCTATTGAACGAACCATGGCTGGAGTGAGTTCCCTTGGGCCTGAAGAAGGATGCTTCTTGTACTCTTGAATAACGTAGCTTGCTTCAGACATGCAGGCATACATGGCTTCAGGGATTGAGCCAATTAAGGAATATTTAGTGGGATTTGTAACGATGATTTTGGTGGTGTCAAAGGTTGCGATAGAGGAAAGAAGAGAATCCTCCATGATTGGAACGTGAAGACGATCCATTACCCACTTTGTAATGATGGACCAGTACCTTCCACAAGAAATATCTAAATGTCGAGATGAAGAGTACAAGCTTTGAACCAGTTGTTGCCAGATGACGGTCCCATAGTCCAAAGTAATCCCATTATACAATCCGTAAAGCATAGTCATAAATGACTTGCTTTCTCCATCTGAGTCGGAGCTTTGCTCAGAGAGTCCTTTGAATAGTAGAATGAAGAGGTTGTTCCATTGAGGAGGAAGGCAGGACTTCTTGAAATTGGTGATGGTGGTTAGGGTTTCAGTGTACCCCATTTGGTAGAACATAGAGAACAGTTGACCGGTAGTGATCGAATCAGGGTTTACCAAAGTAGGTTCATGAGCGAGACCCAGTAGGGCACATAAGTGGTTCTTGGAGATAGAGGTCTTCTCATTGTGTATTTCAACGTGAATCCTCTAAGAAAACTTGTCGTAGTAAGTAGTTGAATAGATGTTTGAGAGGCAGGACATGAGAACAACTTCGACCTTTGACAGAGCGTCGACAAGAGGCGAGTACTTGAGACATTCGACGACATACAACATGTAGGGTTCATAGATGAAGGGAGTAAGATCAATGATGAGGTTTTGTTGAGGTTTGATGGTGAGAAGGTTGGAGTGAACATATGTGTCGTGAACTAAAGAGGATTCTATCATTGTTGAAGCTTTGAGAGGAAGAAGGTGAATAGTGAAAGAAATCGCCCTTTTTCTTTGAGAGAATTTGTAAGTGATAAAGGAGTAAAGTGGAGTATGCCAAAACCTTTTATACGTACAAGTAGGAGAGAGCAAAATCCGGCTAATATCTTGGATTAAATTAAAAACCGTGCCTGATGTGACGGAGTGAACAGTTGGCATGCACGATGATGATGCAGGAAAGAGAAAGAACGTTTCCTTTTTACATGTCTTTCCGTAAAAAGTCCCTTTTTCAAATCATTAAAATGATTGGATTACTGCTGACTCAGCCTGAACTTTATCCCAAACGTCACCCACAAATTTCATATGAATCGTCATCGCCTTTATCTTTATCGATCAGTGGAATACTTTAGAAACGAAGCTATAACAATTATGTCATCGTTAATAGAACCAGATTTTGGAAAATCAAAGATTTTCGTGCATAGAGTGTGAATGATAAAGAAATAAAGAAATTTTTTCTGATAATTTGTGATGTCTTGGAAAGACATAAAGCAACTAATTCTGGGCACGAATCTCTTCCTTCAAAGTCAAGAGAGACTTCAAAGTGCTTATGTGGCTTCCCATGAAATAATGTTCAAGTACTTTTTAAGAAGTATTAAAAGGCATCTTTTTAATTAAAGCTAGAAAGGGTGGCTTTTCACTTCAATTCATGAATTCGATACTTGATATAAGACCGAACCTGAATGAAGTACTTGTGAGACCAATGTGGCCTGTTAAACAAGTAGGTAGATAAAAGTTTCAGTGGCTTGTTAACAATTATGAAATCTAAAAAAAAAAACTTAACTGGATCCTTGGGGAAGAAAAGTCTTGATTATAGACGTTTTCAGAAGGATCACTCAAACAAAAAAACATTGATTTCATTCAAGAATTGTATCAAATTAATCGTATACCGTCAATTCATTAAAGGTGTTGAATTGTGGGTTTCACTTAGTACATAGTGACACGAAACTAAGATCATTAACACAGAATTTTGTATAACCATAAACCTCAGTGGTAAATGCTAAGAGTCTCAAGGGTTACATGAGTTAGATGAAGAAAAAACATTGTAGGCAGTATAAGAAGCAAATGTACCTCTGCTATAAAAGAAGGACCAAGTAGAAAACTCTAAGCTCAATTTGAGAAGAGTAAGGTAGCTCATGATTAGAGTGAATGTAACAGCCTAGTTTGGGAAAACATGATTTTTATATATCATGTTATTAAGGCTTCGCTCAAAATCTGTAGAGACTTTAGTCAACATGCAACAACATGCTTCTAGGGACACCTAACTAATTTATAGAAAAGAGAATATACCTGCTTGAGCTTCACCATCGAGAATGACACTTATACAAAGAAAAACATTAGATGAAAATAAAATAAAATAAATGAAATTTTTGTATTTTGTGAAAATTATTTTTTTTATGGATTTTATGAAAATGAAAAAAATAAAAGAAACATCCAAAATTGTATTTAAAAATTGTACAAAAGAATACACCCAAAATGCCTTGTGATGAAAAATAAACGAACGAATTCAGAACAACCGAACCCGAAATAGACCGAGCGTTCGGTTCATTTCGGTTCTTGGTTGAACCGAACTGAAATAGATCGAACCTGAAATAGACCGAACGTTCGGTTCACTCTATTTCCTTCACACCTTTATTGAATCAAAGGCGATTTTGGTACTGATTCTGCTTCCATCATTCCTAGGCCTTGTAAAATTTTGTTGAAACGTGCTTCAGGTAAAGCCTTAGTGAATGTATCTGCCAGTTGATCAGTCATCCTCACGAAGTGAATCTCTACGTTGCCATCTTCCACGTGATCTTTGATGAAGTGATACCTCAATGCTATGTGCTTTGTCTTTGAGTGTTTCACTGGTTTATGACAAATCCTAATTGCACTTTCAGAGTCGTAATATAGTGGGATTTTCTTCATGTTCAGCCCATAATCTCTAAGTTGACTCTGTATCCATACAACCTGAGATGTGCATGAAGCGGTAGCAATGTATTCAGCTTCTGCAGTGGAGAGAGAAACACAAGTTTGTTTCTTTGATTGACAGCTGACCAATTTGCCATCGAGAAATTGGCATCCTCCAGTGGTGCTTTTGCAATCCAATCCACAACCACCTAGGTCAGCATCTAAGAAAACTTGGACAAAGAATCCTGAGTTTGCTGGATACCATAGACCGAGAGAGGAGGTTCGCTTTAGATAGCGAAAAATATTCTTCACGGCTAGCATGTGAGGTTCGCATGGGTTAGCCTGGAATCTAGCACAGTAGCAAACTGAGAACATGATGTCAGGTACGCTTGCTGTTAGATACATTAACGACCCAATCATTTGTCGATAAAGTGTTATGTCAGCGGCTGGCTTCTCCAGCGAAGGTGTAAGCTTTGTCCCAAAAGCCATTGGAACTTTCACTTTGGAGTCTCCCATCATGCCAAATTGGCAAGCAGTGTCTTGGTGTATGCCTCCTGATTGATAAAAATGCCTTCGGGTCCCTGTCTAATGTTTAAGCCAAGGAAAAAGTTAATTGGACCCATTGAGCTCATCTCAAATTTAGTTTCCATCAACTTCCTGAGTTCAGCTGTTAAGCTGGGATTCGTGGAGCCAAAGATGATTTCATCAACGTAGATTTGGACTATCATAAGGTGGTTACCCTCTCTCTTACGAAAGAAGGTTGGGTCAACCGAACCTTGTTTAAATCTAGACATTTTTAAGAATCGAGTGAGAGTTTCATAGCATTATACTTTAGGCCATATACCGCTTTGTCAAGTATGTAATAGTGATCTGGGTACTTCTCGTTCACAAAGCCTAGTGGTTGCTCAATGTACACAGTTTCTTCAAGTTGTCCGTTGAGAAAGGCATACTTTACATCCATCTGATAGACTTCAAAGTTTTTGTGTTCAGCATAAGCAAGAAAGATACGAACAGACTCTAATCTTGCAACAGGAGTGAAGGTCTCTTCATAATCGATACCTTCTTCTTCACAGTAGACTTTTACAACCAACCGAGACTTGTTATGGATCACATTCCCCTCCTTATCCATCTTATTTCTGAATACCCATTTGAGACCGACAACTGAAGCATCCTTTGGTGTTGGAATATGACGCCATACTTTTTTTTCAAACTCATTCAACTCATCTTGCATGGACTGAACCCAATCAGAATGATCAAGAGCCGAATTCACAGTCTTCTATTAAACCTTGGAGACAAAGGAGTTGAACATGCAAAACTCTACTTGAGAGAAGAGTACAACTTGTTTTGCTTTGATCTGTGATCGAGTTAACACCTTTTCTGAAGATTCCCCATTGATTTGACTTTGTGGATGATCTTTGGTCCATTTAATAAGAGGTGGGTAATTTGGATCACAAGAGGGATCCAGTTCTGCATTAATTTTTTCTTCCAATTCTGATAGTATATCATCATCATTGTCATGTGTGTTCTCCCCCTCGAATGATGACACCGGTTCAATATCTGGATCAGAATGTTCCCCTTCGTTTCGACTTTTAGTTGAGCTTGATGATTGTGGCGTTGAATTCTCCCCCTGGAATGAAGCACCTTGATCTTTTAGCAGAGATGAACCCTCCCCCTGGGCAGAAGGACGGTCATTCGAAGGTTCGCTTAAGTCCGGCCTTTCGGTTGCTTTAGGTTGATCAACATCCATCTTCTGTGCAACATCGCCGATGATTTGCTTTAGACTATCAACTTTGTTGTCTTTCACCTTTGATTCAGAATTGATGCTGTTTGAGGCTCATAAAAAAGAAGCATATATTGCTCGAAAAGATTTGAGATAGAAGTTGTAACTTGACTGGTATTTGGAAAGATTTCCTGCATTGCACTTTCGGTTGTCATCATCTTCTTAACATAGCTATCGTCAAAAGTGACATAGTATGTTTCTTCAATCTTCTTAGAGCACTTGTTTAGAACTCTATATGCCTTAGAGTGCAGGGAGTAACCTAAGAATATCCCTTCATCAGCTTTAGCATCAAACTTGTTTCGATTCTCTTTAAAGTTGAAGACGAAGCATCTTGAATTGAACACATGAAAGAATTTCACATTTGGTTTGCGATTGTTCAAGATCTCGTAAGGAGTGATAGAGAATTGCTTGTTTAGATATGATCTATTCTGAGTATAACAAGCACCAGCAATAGCATCAACCCATAAATATAAAGGCAAGGAAGCGAAACATAACATCGTTC